AAGAAGGATCAGTCATAGGTGGGCCTGACTCTTTGTGAAGTTGTACATGAAATAATGCAATTCCTTTGTGTGATCTCGCAATCTCAAGGCCCAAGGAGTACTTCAATTGTCCTATATCCTTAATGCTAAATTCAGCATCCAACGAGTGCTTTAAATTGTTGATTTCAGTGAGATTATTTCCTGCCAAGATCAGGTCGTCTACATAAATGAGAATTGTTGTAAAACTGTCATCCACTTTCTTGGTGAATAATGAGTAATCAGCCTTGGATTGATTATATCCATGTTGCATAAAAAATGAGGTCAGTTTGGCATTCCATTGTCTGCTTGCCTGCTTCAAGCCATATATAGACTTTTGTAATTTGCAAACCAACTTAGACCCTGAGGTATGTAATCCAGGAGGAACATGCATGTATACTTCTTCATTTAGGTCCCCATGAAGAAATGTTGTATTTACATCTAATTGATGTAAATGTCAATGATTAGCAGATGCAAGTGCTAACAAAACTCTCACAGTAGTCATCTTCACAACTGGGCTGAAGGTCTCCAAATAGTTAATTCCTTCAATTTGAGTAAAGCCTTTGGCAACAAGCTTGGCTTTATGTCTCTCTACAGATCCATCTGCCTTATATTTCACTTTAAAAAGCCACTTGCAACCAACGACTTTTTTCTTGGTGGCAAAGAAGTAAGAATCCAGGTTTTGTTCTGCTCCAAAGCAGATAGTTCAGCCATGATGGCCTTTTTCCAACAGTCTTGGATGATGGCATCCTCATAATGTTCAAGTTCAGTGACTGCAGATAAGGCTACAGAAAATTGTTGTTGTGTAGGTGATAAATTTTCATAAGAAATAGAATTAGAAATAGGATACCTGACTTTGGAAGTGGTTGCTATTGCTATTGAAGTAAGAAGACTGCAATGGTAGTCTTGCAAATAAGATGGGGCTTTCCTTATTCTATTAAAATGTCTTATAGAGATTTCAGTTTCATTTTGGTGAATAGAAGAATTATTATTTTCAACAGAAGAACTTTCATTTTTAGTTTGTATAGTCTCAGAAACAATACTTTCATTATTAAAACTGCCACAAGTATCAGTGGTGTTACTAAGACTGTTATTGTCAAATTGAGTGAAATCAAACAAATAACTAGAATCATGATGAGCATGAGAAGTTTTAATATTGTTTTGAGTAGCAAAGTGTGCATTTTCAGTGAAAGGAAATTGATTTTCATAGAATTGACCATTTTTTGATATGTACAGTTTTGTGGATTTGGTATAAAAAAGAATGTAACCTTTAGTCCCTTGTTTAAATCCTAGGAAAACACTCTTCCTTGACCTTGGATCAAGTTTCTTTCTATTTGAAGTAAGTGTGCAAGCAAAGGCAAGGCAACCAAAAACTTTTAACTGAGAAATATCTGGTAGGTGATTATGTAAGAGTTCATAGGGAGATATATTGTTAAGATTGTTGGCAGGCTGTCTATTTATCAAGTGAACAGCATGAGCCACAGCAAAATTTCAGAAACATTTAGGAAGATTAGACTGAAATATAAGAGCCCTAGTTGTACCTTGAATGTGTTGATGTTTCCTCTCAACAATGCCATTTTGTTGAGGTGTTTCAACGCATGATGTTTGATGTAGAATCCCTTTGTTATTATAAAATTCTGGAAGCTTTATTTCAGGACCATTGTCAGACCTTATAGCTTTTAACTTCGAATGAAACTGAGTTTCAATCATGCTAACAAAGGATTTAATATGCATACTAGTTTCATATTTAAGTTTTATGAAATAAATCCAAGTAAATTTAGTTTTATGATCTACAATGGTAAGAAAGTATCTATGGCCTAGGGTAGAAGGTACAGAAATAGGACCCCATATGTCAATATGGATCAAGTCAAAAACATTTTCACAGATAGTGTTACTATTAGGGAAAGGGAGTTTCTTCTGCTTAGCAAAGTGATAGACCTCACAAGGTTCAGAAATTTTATTGCTATCAATATAGGCGAAATTTCTTTTCATTACAACAAGTTTTTCATGTGAAGGATGACACAATCTTAAATGCCACAGATTGTAATTATATTTCAAAAAATTGTTAACAACATGACACTTCTTAAAAACACTATGAATATAAGCATCATCAGCATTCATAGCATATAAACCATTCTTCAATTCAGCAACACCAATCATCTTCAAAGTATGCATGTCCTGTATCTGACAAGTAGATTTTGAAAAAATTAGTTTACAATCCATTGTATTTGTGAGCTTTGAAATGGATATCAGATTAAACTGAAATTCTGGTATATAAAGGATATCTGTAAGATAAAGGCTATTTGAAAGAAAGATAGTGCCTGATTTAGTGGCAGTCACTTCTCCACCATTTGGAAGTTTAACAAGAATGGGTCTAATCTGTTTAAATGTTTGAAATGCAGAAATAGAGTAGCAAACATGATCTGTTGCTCCAGAATCAAGTATCCAATAAAGGGCTTTACTGGAGCAATTTAAAATAAATGAAATACCTGCACTGTGTGAATGAGGATTTTTAACAGAAATTTGGTTTACACTATGAGGATGTGAGATATTAGCCTGTTGAAGAAGTGTCAGTAGGGCTTTATGCTGCTCAGGAGTAAAACTCGAACTAGAATCTTCTTGTTGTTGTATGTTTTAGTCCACATTCTCCTCATGTTGGTGATCATTGGAGGTAGTGCAATTGTTAATGGAACTAGTATTCTTGTAATTAGGAGGGAATCCATGTTTCTTGAAACAAGTATCAACAGTGATTGCAAAAAGAACACTGTTTGGGATTGGAATTTCTTCCACCATAGCCTCTTCCTGGATTAAAACTTCTCTGACCCCTCCCTCGAGATCTCCCTCTTCCTCCATTGTACTGAAACTGATTATCAATAGTACTAGCAAGAACTTTAGATTCTTCAAGAAAATTTTCCATTTGTCTTTCTTGTTGAATCAACAAAGAGAATACCCTATTGATGTTGGGTAAAGGATCCATGAGCATAATTTGAGATCTTATGAAACTGCATTGTTCATTTAAGCCTCTCAAGAAACAGATAACATGATCATTATCTCTATATGACTTATCAGTATGTATCAATTGGCAATTGCATCGATTAGCACAGGAACATGATGGTATGGGCCTGAAATTGTCAAGTTCTTGCCATAATCCCTTCAAATGAGTGAAATAGGTGGTAATAGATTGATTACCTTGCTTGAATGTATAAGTCTCTTCCTGAATTTGAGCAATTTGAAAAATGTCTCCTTGGTAGTACCTCTCCTTCAAATCTTCCCATATTTCTATAGCTGTTTCCATCCACATTATACTCATAACAATTTCTGGTTCTGCAGATTGATTCAACCAAGATACAACCAACGTGTTGCAGCGATCCCAATTATGATAGTTAGGATCATTGTTCTCTGGCTTAGGAAGACTTCCATCAACAAATGCTAATTTATTCTTCGACTTGAGCACCATGGTTATTGCACGTGACCAAGAATGATAACTTTCTCCTCTCAACTTCACTGGAACAATGTAATTTGGAGTATTTTCAGAAAGATGAAAATAATACGGGCTTGAAGGATCCAAGATAGGGTTTCTGCCATTGTTGGCCACGACAATCAAGACGATGAAGAAGAATTCTGATAACAGAGAACAAATGATGAAGGAATCAGAGTGCGAAGCGGTAGCAGAGCCCCTAGGAAAGGGGCTCTGATACCATATAAAAGGTATTAAACTCCGTAGTATGAAAGAGGAAAGAACAACAAACTATGCGACAAGAAAGGATTTTTGTTTATTAATATGAGAAGAAATATTCTTCAGAAATTGAAATTTTTAAAATTCATTAATTTACCAAAGAATAGAAAAACCTATTTATACAAGTATATTAACTAGAGTTAGCCAACGAGAGTTTGTTGTTGAGTTGACTATCCAGCGTGTATGTTAACAACCAACAAGTATTTGTATTTGTTGTGAACTGTTACATGAGTTACAATTTTTAAGTGTCAGTTAAAAACGTCTTTAATTAACAACGATAAAAATCAATTGTTACTAATAAATACGAAAATAATAATGATTTATGTATTATTGTTTAATAGTTTTTTAGTTTCTAAAAATAAAATAATAATTATAAATTTAAAGTATGAAATAATTTACATGTTTATTGTGTTTAACTAACATTTCAAGCCCCTAATTTTATTTAATTAATATGTCAATGTTTAGCTATGATTTCTAATCCTACTTATCCTGTTTATTTAAATAATTTAATATTTGATTCCAGAATATGATTATCTTTTATATAATAATTCATACATAAATAATATAAAATTAATCTACTGGAGTTCTTACATGATGTTTTTAAAAATCCTTTCAATTTAATTTATTCACTTAATTTTCCTTCGTCAACTTTTTAGTTATTTATGTTCATGTTGTTTTTAAATTTTTTCACACATTTAAAGTTTTTGTAAGTAACTTTTTTCAAAATTTTAAAAAAATAATAATTAAAAGCATGTTAAAATGAATAAATTATAAAAACATTTCACTTAAAAATTAATCTTAAACAGAAAATAAATGTTGTAATTAGTATAATTATTAATGAGAAATTATTTATGACAAATATATTTTCACTGTGTCAACCTTGTATTAAATTGATTGACCGTGTACATATCAGCGTAGTGAGATTTACCACTACGTCAATTTTATTTATTTTTTGAATAAAGTATAGTTTTGTTGTTGTAAATAAAAGTATATACAGTGGATGACAAAATTTATATATTTTTAGTATATTATAATAAAGGAAACAAGCAGTCCTGATATTTTGAATTAGGGAAAGTAATCTGACTCAAAATAAAAACAAGCAAACATGAAAGGAAAGAATCTAAAAGATAAGCACAAATTAGTGAAATTGAAGCACTCGTTTTTATTTTCGGCAGGAATTGAAGGATCACGAGGCAGATGAGATGATTGGTATAAATAATAGAAAAGATTGTCAACCGTTGTGTGGTAGCGCAGAAAAGGGTTGACAAGAGAAAACAGGTACGCTCCCTTTTGTAGTGCCGCTTCCAAGCATTATTTTTTTTTTCTTTTTAACTTTTATGAAACCTTATAAAGATTGATGCTTATCTTTTCTTTTCTACTATTTCTGGTCATTGGTACTTGGTCCAGGTGAGGAAGTTGATGCTAAAATCCACCTAATTGTATTTGCAGAAAATGGGTCGTGGAAGAATTTCTATGGAACTGATTCAGAAGGAAAAGGCTCGCAAGACAACATTTCAAAAGAGAAAGAGCGGATTAATGAAGAAAGTTTATGAGTTTTCCACTCTTTGCGGGGTTGATGTTTGCGTAATTATCTATGCTCCTATGTTTGATGGTCAAGGACTAGCTGAACCTGAAACATGGCCCCAAGACACCAAAGAAGTACATCGCATCATTCAAAAATATCATAACACGACTAGTGATAGACGTCCTAAGATGTATGATGTGCAAGAGTATTACAAGGATAGGATGAAAAAGGTTGAATCTGAGATTTCCAAAGTGTGCAAAGAGAAGCTCAAGATCATGTACCCAACCTGGGATGAATCTTTCAATGCTCTTGGCGAGGAACAGCTGAGGATGTTTGTTAGTATGCTGGATGTTAAGCTTGATGCTTGTAATCAAAGGATGAATATGCTAGAAGGAGATCTAAAGGGAAAAGCAATAGCAGAATCAGACAAGGTTGAGACACTTGTTCCCTACTTGGCCTCAAGTCCAAGTAGCCATCTCAATCTCATGCAGAACACGTCTCAAGCGCAAAATTTCCCTCTCCCTGTGAAATCAATTAGCGACAACAATCACCTAGCATTATACCCATTTCAGCTTAGCCAAAGTTCTCAATCTTCCATGCTTCATTTTGGACAAAATTGTATGCAATTAATGGGAAAAAATGAAATGGTGGATTGGGCTGATCAAGTTGGTGCTGTTACTTATGATCCCAAAACCGGTATGCTAAAGGAGAATGGAGCTGCAAACAATCAAAACTCCTTACCATGCTATTACAATGGAAATGTACAAACAATGCAGCCATATACTATTGCTTTGCAGACTCTTCCTTCTCACTCGCAGTATGAAGCACCTTTCCAAATCCCATCAGATCCACCACCAGGGTTTCAACTTAATGGACTTTACGATTCAAATATGCTTCAAGCTCAAATGTTCACCTACATGCATGGAGGGAAGTAAGCCATAATACTTCAAACATATATGCCTCTTCTTATAGGATTGTGGAACTTATTGGTTAGGTTTTCAATTTTCTTCGACTTAATTGGCATTGGCTAATGCTTAATGAATTGTTGAATTTCTTTTCTGGGCTTTTAATGTGGACTCACATTTTATGCAATGGTCCTATCAACTTGGCAAATGATCTACAGTGACAGGTAGATCCCCTTTCTTGTTATTTGCTATTTAATCACTACTCTAAATTTGCCACATCACGCGTGATTCTTTAGGAGAATTTACGAGTCTAAACCAGAACAACATAACCCGATTTACCTGAACATTATGAATTTATGAGAAAATGAAGAAATTTCGCAAATTAATACCTAAATAACTTGTCAATGTTCTGTCTTTCGGGATCACACTTTTTTCATAAACGCCACAACTTATAACGCTGACCAAGATAATCGAAATGCATATATTACTAAACTTTTTCTACTAAAAATGCAAGATGGATTTATTTTTTTTTATTTAAACCCTTTCACTAAAAATGTTAGTAGTTAATTTTTTGTTTATTATTTTCTTTTATTTACGTTTATGTTTCTTAACCTTTTGTATTCGTAATATTTTATATATTCTCTTTTTATAATTAAATTAATATCAAATAAAATTTTAAGTACAAAAAATTAATTTAATACTTTTCTTTATGAAAATTAGAATATTTTTGATCAATTATATACTTAGTTAAAATAAAAATATTTAATATTACAAATAACACAATTTAAATAATTTATAATATAAAAAACTATAGATATATTATAGACACGTGCATTTTACAGAAACAAAATCTAGTATACAAATAAAGCTTTTTAACTAAAAGTGCCACGTGACATCTTCTTCTTCTTCTTTTATTTAAAATCTTTTTAACTAAAATGCCACATGGCCTTTATTCTTTTTTTTTTTTTTTATATATTTCTTTTACTTTATTGTTTTATATATTTTTTTTGGCTTTTCACACATTTTATCTATATGTGTTTTAACTATTTGTATTTTCAACCTTTTAAGTTTTAAACTTATTGTTAGATTAAAATAAAGTAAGATTTTAACTACTAAGTAAAATAGTTTGTTTTTTTATAGAAATTTTAATATTTTTATTAAATATATACTTAAATGAACAAATTATTTATTAATATTAATAATGCAATATAAATGATTAATAATATAAAACTAAAAATATTAAATATATCTTAAAAGTTGTACATCGAATGAAGATTATATTTATTTTCTTACCCGTAGAAAACTATTCTCCCGGGGGATACATCAGCATCTAAAGCAGATGCTTCTAACAATATATCTTTTTTGACATACATTAATCTCAAAATTAAACCCAATATCACATGTTTTAAAATTTGAACTCCTCCTAATTACATCAATCCATATTAATTTAAATAATACTTGATCAGAGCCAATTTACCTGGGCTCAATACTTATAACTATTCGTTTAAATTGAGCTTAAACACGTGATTTGTGACTTAATAAATATTTATGCATGTGCATTTAGCATTTTATACACGATTATGACAAGAAATCGTAATGACAAATTAGGTTCACGATCGTAAGGACAGCTACTGATTAGCAAAATATTATAAATATATTATCATTATAATTTTTAGTACATTCTTAATGTAATTTTTTGAAAATATTTATTTCTTAATAATGTATAAAAAAATGATTAACAAGATACTATTTTATGCCGACATCCATATAAAAATTAAAAAAGTAATTAAATTTAACGTATCTTAAAAATAAAATAAAATAAAATAAATTGTGGTAATTACTCTCCCTCTAATTAATTGAGTTTACATAAAATTGGAATGATTTTGACGAAGAGCGGAAAAAAAAAGAACTGAATTTGATGGCTGGAAAGAGGATAGTTGAGGCGGGAAAGTCATTTGCTGGCTCCCATCCGTAAAAAACAAATATATGAGATATGGATGAACAATGGATGGTTGATTGGTTGTTGGTGAGAGAGGTTCTATATTTAGAATAGAAGGAAGTAACGAGAATGAGAGGGTCCAGCAATAGCATTGTCCAAAATAGGAATAGGAAATAGGAAATAGGAAATGGGAAATAGGAAAGGGGGCAGTGGATTTTGGAACGAAGAAGGGGGTGCATTCTTGTTCATTCCAATTCCAATTGCACAAACAGAGAAAGTGAGAGAGATAGAGATAGATGAGCAACATGACCTCCACCGCGCGTGGCTCCACCTCCTCCTCCAATGGCCTTCTCACCGTCACCATTGCAAGCAGCCACCCTGACGATCCCACTTCCATCAACCACGACGATGTCGTCGTCGACGACGACGACTTGCTCGCTGATCCCGACGATCCCTTCGATATCACCCACACTAAAAATGCACCCCCCGAGGCCCTCAGGCGTTGGAGAGTAAGCCTTCTTCTCTTTTTACTTTTCTATTCATCAATGCGCGTTGCTTAATTCATTTCTGAAATCGCGTTTCACTCGTTCGCAGGAAGCGGCTTTTGTGCTCAATGCCTCCAGGCGTTTTAGATACACTCTTGACTTGAAAAAGGAAGAGGAGACAGAGCACAAGAAAAACATGATTAGAGCCCACGCACAAGTCATAAGAGTAATGTTAATGTTTATCTACTCACTCACTAATGCCATTTTTCAACGCTACCTTTTCACCTTATCAACTGACTAATCATTCATTAATCCTTCTATTAGGCAGCATTGCTTTTCAGATTGGCTGGTGAACGTGAACTAGGTACACTCCCTTCCCCGAATCTTCGTTTCCCAACTTAACCTTCCATACAATATTCCATCACTGTAAAATGTTCACGGAGCTAATCGCCATTAAATCCAAAACAAACAACATGATGCCCTTCCGCCATTCTGCTTATAATAATGTTACTTATTACCATCTTTCAATTAATATTTTGAATCAGTGACAAGTACAACAGTGGCATCCCCAACTCCAGTAGGTGAGTATGCAGTTGGGCTTGAACAACTTGTTTCAATGAGTAAGGAACAGAGTATTTCTGCTCTACAACAACATGGAGGGGCAAGTCTACTTCAACATATTTTTGTTTGTGACGTTATGTTCAAGTGATATGCTTGGTTAATATAATCTACTCTATCTTATTCAGGTTAAAGGCCTATCGGATTTACTAAAATCAAATCCGGATAAAGGGATTAGTGGAGATGATGTTGACCTATTAAAGAGAAAAAATGCATTTGGAACTAATACATATCCTCGGAAAAAGGGGAAAAGTTTCTGGGTACATTCTTTATCATGTTATCATCTATTTTTATTTTTAACTGCAATTGATGAAATAGCTGTTTGGCTGGTATTAATTCTTTGCGGTTCTTTTACAGAGGTTTCTATGGGAATCTTGGCAAGATCTCACCCTTATAATATTGATTATAGCAGCTGTGGTATCATTGGTACTCGGAATAAAAACAGAGGTGCATTACATTTGCTAATTATCGTCAATCACAACAGTAATTGAGCATTGTTAATAATTCGTTCATTAGTGGAAATATATGAAGCTTAATTGGAATTGAATCACCTGTTTTCATTTTCTGATCTCCAAATTAAAAAGTAGTACGCGAGCTATAAAACGAACGAAACAGTTTACCTTTTAATATCCTGTTACGTCTTCCTTGGAGGGACAAGGAAAGTGACAAAAAATACTGCTGGAGTCACGTTATTTCACTCTAGCTCAATTATGTGAGAAGTTAGGCAGTAATTACTCGTGCTTGACGCTTAAGCTGGGCGAGGCTTTTGCCTCTCTTAATAGGAGATATATTTAAAAGGAAATCTTACATGAAACCGACGGTGTACTATCAGGTTTGAACAATAACTACCGCAAGCATATCTGAAGATAAATCATCCATGCTTGAGCATGTCATAGTGCATTACTAACAAGATAAAGAGAATTCATCACATTTATTTTTATTTTACATTTTACTTTATGAATTTCTCGGGTTACCTCTTTGCATTTTTGTGAAAGATTTTTTTCCTCCTTTCTCGCATCCCTGAACATTAAGCGGTGTATGCCTGTTTATTGGTGTTTGTTTCGGAACTTATTTTCTCCTTCTGTATGCCTGTTTCTTCACGGTGCTTGGTGCCACTGTAATGTCTCTTTCATTATGTTTGAAGTTGATGTCGTTTTCACGAAGGTTTATCTTTTTCCTTTATTTGTATTCGCTAGGGTTTGGAAGAAGGATGGTATGACGGGGGAAGCATTGCTTTCGCTGTTTTTCTTGTCATTGTAGTTACAGGTAATTTATTTAATAGCTTCTTTTAGTTTTGACGAATAAGATATGTTTAATCATGACAGAATTATAAATGTATATAGAATGTCGGCTGTGGTCATAATGGTAGAAAAAGGAAAAAACTGTGAACGTCAGTAGGGATAAACATTTTTTTAATACTGATAGGTCAATAGCTCAATTCTCCACCAGTCTCCGCAACAATGTGAATTAAGAGTTTTTTTTTTTACAGTATTAGTCTACACCCTATCAATTATTCAGTTGCGTAAAATATGTAACCGTAATAAGAGGTTACGTAGACTATGTTTCACTCAAAACGAAGTTATTACTTATCAGTTATACATACATGATTGATTATCATTTGCATCAAAGAATTGTTTAGATTGTTGTGTCATATTATTTATTTATTTATTGTTAAAAATTAAAATGTCTATAAAAGAATCTTTCTTAAGGCTTAAGCTACTCACAAGTGACTATTTGGTGTATTTGCCCTTTTGGCATTCTGTTTATTAATTAACCTTAAACAAGTTGTAAGTTTAAGAAATTTATTAAAGAATGTGCGGTATTGGTTAAAGAATTAAAATAATAATTTTTTAATGTGGGCATGAAGGTATATAATAAAAAATAAAAAATGGTAATTTTTTATTAAGAGATATAATATTTAGTATTAACAAAATTTTTTATTAAAATTTACTATATATTAAAAAAAATTGTTGATGTAAAACTACTACATGCAAAATATAAGCATTTAATATTTTGTGAATTTTAAAAATATTTAATATGCTTTATTTAAATAATTAAGGTTTTTCTTATCTTTAGCTCTTAGATATCTGTTTAAACATTTAAAAATGGTAAGATTTTATTAGAAAGGAACAAACAAGTTTATAGCATTAGAGTTATAAAAG